TTACCGCAGCCCGTCGCCGGCAGGCTCTGTGTTTTGCCTGCCCGCTCATATTGGCACATAATTTAACGTTTCTGGGATCCCCGCCATTCGTGAGTTCTTGTGTGGTACTGCTCGGGTACAGAGCCTGAACGTTAAAGTATTAATACTTCCAGAGGGCTTCCCCATTGTCGTACAGGGGTTTGCTTAAAATACCCCAAATAAAAATGGCTTCTTTTTTTTTTTTTTTTTTTTGGTGATAAATTTCAAGGCGGTTATAGATGGAAAGCTGCAGGTGGGGGTTTTGTCCTTTTTTCTCTGCAGAAGTTCAGAAACGTTTTGGACGACGACAGGCATGTTCCCACAGGAATTCATTATTGGTTTTCCTAAATGTGTAAAAATCAGCAAAGTCGCAATCCAGTGTTATTTGGGTAAGACTTCATGTATTGCAGTATGTAATACACAGTATGTTAAAATGTGTGTGTGCCTATATGTAAATTCTCACAGCAGTGTCACATTCTGTACGTAGTCACTTCTAACAGATTCATAAAGCTTAATTTAAATCATAAAGTTTCATTTAGCTTACCAAAGCAGTTGTCCTCCAAATCCAAAGTTTTTCATAAATAAATTGGAAAAAGATGGAAAATCTACCCCACCTGCACTTGTTTTGTTCTTACAACACCTTGTATTGAGCTTGTAATTAACTGTTCTGTCGCACAGTGATGGCTGTTCTAATTTAATGGACAGGACTACAATACTTCCTCTTTTAATGACTTATTTTGAATATTGATTTGTATCATTTTGTAGGACAGAACTCTCTTAGTCTTTTTTAAATAATGTGAAGGAAAATGTGAGTTCTAAAACAGGAGGGACTGTTACAAGGTCAGAGCATGGAGACAGGAGCTTGACCATCAGCAGAGGCTACACAAAAGATGTGAAAACTTGTCATTGTTTGTCCAACCTGGAACATAAGGATGGCGGTTGTATTAGAGTCCTACCCCATAAGTTAGAAGAAGAATGGATTAGTTAATACTTTGTAGATGAAAAGTGATGCAATAAATATAATTATCAATAAAGAATCAGAATTTGTATTGATATTTTAAATGTTTATATATTTTAGTGCGGACCTTAAGGATTGAAAGAAGCGTATCTAAAGACCCGGTAGGTTTTGAACAGTGCATTGAAAAAGGTAAGATTCTGAATCTGAAGCAGCGGGGATTTTGTGGGAATGATGTTGATCTCTGTATTTGCCGATTCATTTACTATTTCTAGGTTTCAGAATAACAAAGCTTGTGTTAGGCAAACTAGGAAGGATTCTGATTGACTTTTATTGTTACTACTAAGATAATTCATCAAAAATAAAACTTGCTAATGAAGCTTGAAAATTTTTTTTTTTTTCCTAGCAAAACAAGGGAGGATAACACTAAGATGTGTGCCCTGGCAGGTGTCTGAGAACAAGATTGGTCACATTGTCAGCCTTTGGTAAAGCTTTGTGACCTAGACTACTTTTGTTAATTTTAGTTAGTCTTGGTTAGTATTTTAACTGCATGTTTCACAGGGATCCCCATTTTCCTGCAAAAATTGCTTATGATGTTATACCACAGAGTAGTTCTCACAGTAACTTAATTACATTTTCACCTTAGCTGCCTGAATAATTTCAGTGATGCTCTTCTGGTGGGAACTATCACTTTTTGCATACATAATATCAAATTTTTTGGGTTCCCCGTTGGTTTCTTTGAACATCGAGTGAAAACATAGACGTTTTGGAAAAATAGCCAGGTTTCCGTTCATGTAGCCTGGTGCTATATAGCATCATCTTCCCAGCTTGAAAACTGCATTTTTAGATGAATAATGATAAACAAATACACCGGGAAGCAATACTCTTTATTCTAAAGTTAAATCTTAATTTTATGCCTTTGACTAAGTATACATCGTCTGTAAAATTGTGCTTATAAAATTGAGTTTAGATTTTAGTTAGGTTCTGTTTAGCCATACAGATAAAACCATCCTTTTTATCATTATTGATACACTAATTTTTTCAGTGAGTCACTTTAACCCCATGTCTATTTGTTGAGTAGTCAAGTGTGGCTTGATGATTATTTTATTAGACGTTAATGTAATAGACACGTTTAAATGAAGTTTATGAACACTGATGGTCTGTGTAGCAGTTTGGGGATGTAAAATGCTGTATAAGGGCTAAAAGCACTACTTGTGCACTCGCTTTTATGTTCCAAAAATTAAAACCAGACTTACATAGCATAATAGAGTGCCATTTCCTGCATTGGTTGGTTGGTTTGTTTTTGTTCTTTTTAAAGCCTCTTGGGTGACATTTTGTAAAACAGTGTAATGAGTGGTATATATACACTGGGATATTGCAAAAAGTATTTGTTCTTTTAACTCATCTTGTAAAAAAAGAACAATTTCTATATGCAGTGTAAGTTCATGGTCCTAAACTCTCTTGAACTCTGAAGTCCAGTGAAAACTTTTCACAGCATTGCACGTTATTATCCATTATTTGCTTTAAAATGTATTTTCTAGATTTGCAACACACAGAAGGACAGCTTCAAATGGAAGAATTTCCCGTGAGTATTTACAGTGTACATCAGTAGTGGTTCGTGACATGGGATGTCTAGACTACTGGGGAGAAACCATGAAAAAACAAAACGTCTTTATTTACAACTATTGTTAAATTGATGTTGGATATAGGAATTTGTAGATCATGGTATGAAATTGCACTTCCCGGCTGCTCCTTTGTAGATTATGGTATGAAATTGCATCTGCCTACTGCTCCTAACTATGTGAAAGAGCTCTTTTCAGAAGTGTGGCAATCTTTCCTCCTTCAATTGTTGCCTTTAAGGGAACGTATTCGGGAGGGATGGGACTTTTTTGAATTGCTGTCACCTAAAGAAGCTCTGAAGCTGGCTAGATGTATTCAAAGAGCTTGATTTATGTGTAATTCAAAAATAGACACCAGAATATCTAGATCCTTCTAACAAACTTCTGCAAATGTTGTTTGATAGTTACTACAGAGAATGCAATAACACTTTTTTTCCTTCTACAGCTTCCTGATTTCCAAGCCACTTACTTGCGTTTTATCATCAAGTCTGCCTTTGATCATTTTGTATCAGTGCACCGGGTGATGGCAGAGGGCACAGCAGAAAACACTTAAGTCCAGCTTAAATTTGTACCTCAGTTTTTTTTATAAAGAAGTTACAGTTTGATATCTGTAGCACAGAGAATATTTATTATTAAAACCTTGTATTAAAGTGGTTTTTGAAGGTATGGATGTAGTATGTATTCCCCACCAGTTTAATGTATGTAATGCAGTATTCAATATTGTAGTAACAGCTTTCTAGTTTTATAACCTAGACTGTTACCCTAGAACACTTGAACATAACTGAGTCCATTTAAATTAGTATGTTTGTATCAGGCTTTCTTAATACATGAATTAAAACTAGATTTCCTGTAAAATGTTTCCCTTGCACTCTGAGTTAAATAGAAAAAAAAAGTATGAAATACTTAAATGGGGGTATTATTCCTACTGTCAAATTAGTCCTTCAAAAGTTCTTAAATGGGCAATTTTCTCATCAGCTCAAACTGTTCAAGATTAATAGGATGAATATAAATGTCTACTAATGCTCATAAATAAGCCGGGGTGGGGAGAGGGGCAGGGTGGGGAGGGAAATAATCTGAAGCCATATGAAGTGCTCTGATAGATTTTTTTATAATTGCAGATCAATCCCTTGTTTCTATAAATATTTTCTGGAATCAGGTCACAGCCGTCTGTGCTTTATGCTATGACTGTCATTACAAATATTAATAGAAACAAATGTTGATAGAGATCGTCTTACTCAGAAGCCTTCTGAAGTCAGTGAAAGTGAACATTTAGGAAAATTGTATGTATACAAGAGAAAGAGAATCTTAATAATGTGAAATCGGTTGGTTGGCATGCCAGTCGACTTTTGCAAATGTCACCACCCCTGAAGTTTATCCTGCACGATATTTCTTACAAATGTAAATGCTGGCATCCAGTCCTGACAGCTCAATGGACCCAACTAGTATTCACTACTGCATGTGGTATAAGCGTAGTAAGATACTACAGTGCAGTAGCTGGGGTTGTAGTGATGAGACTTGAAAACCTCCATACAAACACATAATGAACCACATTACAGATGCTCTTTAGATACACATACGTTATTCTTTTTCTTGTTGTCTCTATTGTTATTTTTAAATTCTTTTTCTTCTTACAATTATGTCTATGAAAACTTATTCATTGAGCTTTTTTATCCAGATAGTCTTTACTCTGAAGTCCTCTTCTCTTCTTTTTCTATTTCAGTTTTTCCAGGATGGCGCGTATTTCCTGGGGGTGATAATTCCAAGGCCCCACTCCTCCCTGCAAAGGCAATAAAATTATACAGTGATGCTCAAGTAGACAAAGTAGAAGTCCTTTAGAGCACAGCAGTTGGCACCAGAACTGTGGGCAGGTGTGCTTGGGCTTCCTTTGCATGACAGCCAGTACGTGGGAGATGGTGTATGCACAGGTTACACCCTGCTGTGTAACTGGGAACGGGGCCAGCGTCTGGATCCTGGAGCTGGAAAGCGTTCCTGGATCCCACAGCTTAGGTATACCTAGGTTTCCTAATGAGCCAGAAGACAAATATTTGAGCAAGACTGAGGTGTACATCAAATATGTACATTAGAAAGGCCGAGACTGGTTTTGCTGCAAGTCCTTTTCTCTCCATAGTTACAGTGAGCCCCCCCAGCCAGTACGTGGGAGATGGTGTATGCACAGGTTACACCCTGCTGTGTAACTGGGAACGGGGCCAGCGTCTGGATCCTGGAGCTGGAAAGCGTTCCTGGATCCCACAGCTTAGGTATACCTAGGTTTCCTAATGAGCCAGAAGACAAATATTTGAGCAAGACTGAGGTGTACATCAAATATGTACATTAGAAAGGCCGAGACTGGTTTTGCTGCAAGTCCTTTTCTCTCCATAGTTACAGTGAATTGTGAAATTTTTAGTTCTCAGACAGAATGAAATACTGACTTAAATGTAAAGCATTCTCAAATTATTTTGAAATTTAAAAATCTCAATATATTGTGCTCATTGTTGATATTTTTTACCTTGTAGATGACCTTCCCTCCTTGAAGTAGATACAGTCGTTCTGGCAAGGCAGCATATTTTGAACTGCTCAGGTTTTCCATAGTGTCTAAAACCACTGGACATAAAGGATTATTTTTCTGAAGAAATTGTGCTGCAATTTTTCGATCTTTGAGGCTTCTGTGATTTTTAATAACAATATTGTTTTTAAAAGCCCATCCATCTAAAACAAACGAGAAAGGGATTTAGCAAGGAACATTTTAAATAGGTGTTAAGGGTGGAGTTGTACTGTGTGTCATATCCCAAAACCGTGTTAAAAGAATACTGCAATTTACTCCTAACACCAAAACTTGCCATGAAATGAAAGCCCCCCCCTCAGAGTATGAGAGCACTATAACTTTTCAAATAAATAGTCCCAAGAGCTTTTTTTTTTTTTTTCTTCAACTTCAGCAAACTCTCTTTTCCCCTTGCCTTGGACTCGGAAATGTTTGATGTATTTCAGCTGAAATTTTCCCACATAAATCAACCCTAGAAAGATACCAGGTGGGGGACTTGGATCCTATTTGAGTAAGGTTTGTCAAAATTATTGGCACAGAGGGGATTTTAAAATAGTAAGTAGTGCTATCAGCTGATAACCATTCATTTAGCACAGTTGCAACAATAGTACTGTTCATTCTGCTTGATTCTACTCATTAAGCCTGTAAAACAAAATTTCAGATCTGTGAGAAGTGAAACATTTGAGCCAGGGCACACCTTCCTTTTTCAGAAATATGCAAACACACATTTGCACACAACTCTTCCTAGTAAAGTAGAAACTAGTAAAAGGTTTTGATGACTGATTTAGTTATCTGTTTCTCAACTACTGAAAGTGATGTATTGTTAGAAAACTTGAAAACTGTAAACGTTATGTTTTAGAAAACCACCTTAACCCTGGGATAAAATCAGTGCCAATGTGTTGCTTAGAGTCCAGTGTAGATAAAAGAGTGTGTATAGTTTGTTTGCTAAATCTTTCAAATTAGAGTCTGCATCCTGTTCTTGAGACATGTTAAAAATGAATTGTCTTTGTTTAAAACGCGTAACATGCTGGCATTGTACACTTAACCTTTGCTCTATGAAACGCTTCATTTTTTTCCTTCTAAAAGGAGCTGTACTAACACTGAGAGGAACTCTTGTAGATACAACTATGTGCTTCACCTTCACAGAGATGAGTGTCTTCAGCAGGAGTACCTTGGTGTAAAGTCAGATGTGTGGGTAAAATCTTTGGAGAATTAGGGACACAAACCAGTGCCTAGATTTGGCGTTGCCACTTTTGGTTTGAGGAAGATTTCTTTCCCGTTTGCAGTTCCCTCCTTTTCTAACAAATTTTCTTCCTAAAGGGAATGATAACGCGTCTGAAGTTTTGGTAGGCATTACTGTGATGTTTGTACTGTACCTACTGCGTGAGCTTCTTCAATGTAGATGATAAGGAAATCTGCTATTGAGCTGAAATCTTTGATGAGCTTGTTGAACTCATCAAATTTTAACATAAACGAAGGTCAGGTGCAACTTCCAAAATTCAGGATTAAAGGTCGGTTATCTGGAAAAAAGGGGACAGTTTGTGGTTAAATCAGTGGCGGGAGAAAGGACAGAATTAAATACATACACTGATTTGAGCCTCTGCCGCAGAGTTTCCTGGGCAACAGCAGGTAAGTCACTTATCCCGTAACTTTCTTCTTAGGACTTCAAAATCGGCAGCAGAACATCTGCATCTATGCAAAACAGGCATAAAGATGCTTTCTTTTCCCTAGCCTGGCTCTGACCTCTGCCGCATCCAGCAATGAGCTTATCCAAGGGGGACACTTTCCTTTGTAAAGCCCAGTCAAGGCAGGAGGCACCGTGCAGTCACACAGCTTCTCGTGTCCTCGTCACGAGAGCGAATTCCCAAGTTGGCCATCCCATTTTGGAATAGGGAAGTGATCTGAAATGGTTATACAGTGTGTAGCACATCACAGCCTCCCCGAGGTCCTTAGTACGAAGGAACCTCAGAAATACTAAACATGATCATCTGCAAGGTTTTTCAAAGGACAGTGGTTCAGAGATGTCTTAATGCTGTTTAATGAACCCATTGGACATGTCTTGATTTTTTTCAGAGGTGTCAGTTCTAGCTGAGCTGGGTGGAAGCTGCAGACTTTTCAGTCATGCATCACAGGCTTTCATGCTTTCAATGTATTTCTGCAATTTCCTGTCCAAACAGAACTCTGGTTATATATTATTATTTATTAAGCTAATGTAACACCAGCTGCTGGCAAAAGTGTCTGTGCAGTTGCTTACAGATTAACACAGTATGTGCCCACAGTTGTAGGCATCTGTTTGCAAGGCCTCGATTTAAGAGAACTCGCAGGATTTTTAAGCACCTCTTTTAGTCTTGGTTATGCTAAATTATCTGACATTTGTTCAAGATCTTCCTTCTGGCTGGGCTTATCTTCAAAAACTGCTGCTAGCATAGATTCACATCCTAAAGAATCTAATAAAGGGGGTGCCTTCCTGTAGATATTGTGTATCTCTTCCAAATTTACATCCCATTTTCTACATTAAAAAAAATATATATATATAAAAAATTAGAAAAGCAGAGTTAGAGAAGGATGTAATCCCTCCGATGGGGACAGAGACTGCAGCTTAATGATTAATTCCACATTCTACAGAGATCTTGGTGGGAGGCAGCAGACAAAGTACAAAGCAACAACTTCTGCTTTATTTTTAGCCACTTTTGAATCTGGAAAAAAACACTGTGTGTTTTCTAGGCTTGAGGGTGGCTAAGGGAGCTGGTGTGGGACTGACTTACTGACCTTGCATGAAATCAAGGAGGTGACGAACTTCCCCGTTGAAAGCCACCACCGGCGTGTTGGGAGCAGGATGTCCCTCGTAGGCTTCGTCCTCCAGCCTCTTCCACTTCACCTTCAGCACAAAGAGCAAATACTTGAAGCTGAAAAAAGTTGGACCCCAGTTTTCGTAGCTGAACTTGGGATTCTCATTCATTCTGCTCTTTTCGCCCTGTTTTAGGATGTATCTTTTCATGGCATTAGGGAACAGTATCATCAGTGTTTTGCCAACGACAGCACACGTAGTAACGTGCAGAAGAATCAGGATTTTTTGTAGGAATACCCTGATGCTGAGCATCATGGTGGAGGAGGTCTGACCGCTTCCAACGGGAACACAGTGTGACGGTGGGGGCAAAGGTAGACGGCGAGGGGGAGGAAAAACCTTCACGTGTTTGGCCAAATTTCTGCCTTGCCCTGCACCCCGTCGCCTCTCCGTGGACTTCAGCGTCTGCGTGAGCGAGCAGCCTGTCAGCTGCAGTATCTCCGTCTACACCAAAAGCACTA